ACTCTCACACATACACCTGGTCCCAGACTCTACACACCTGGTCCCAGACTCTACACACCTGGTCCCAGACTCTACACACCTGGTCCCAGACTCTACACACCTGGTCCCAGACTCTACGCACCTGGTCCCAGACCACACCTGGTCCCTACACTACATGTAGTAGTAGAGTCATTAATCAGACTGTTTGTCTGTAAACTCATATTTTACTTTAGTTTTATAAAAGCTCAGCAGTGAAACAGCTGCAGACAGAAGAATGAAGGAAGTGTAAACTCTGTAAACACTCAGGAACTAGTTGAGATAAGAAACACTAACATGACGTCACTTTAACAGGTTGATCTCGGTCGTTGTGTTCGAGCCCCCCCGGGAGGCCCGAGGTTCGGGGGGGAAGAGGCCTGCGGGCCCTTTGTTCAGCGGGGAACAGAGGCGATAAACCCGCTTCAGCTGGAAACAACCCCCCCGAAGAAGCTCAGGAAGGAAAAGTGTTTAAATCAGACCACCAGTCGGTTACAATTAGGTTCTGACAAACACAAGAACAACTCCAGTTTCCGGCGGTCTTTAAACGCCTCCAAAACTTTTCTTTGTTCCCACTTTTAGCGAAACTTCAAACAAAAGTTGCGCAAGTATTTGAACACAAAAACGACTGAAAAGTGAATTTATATCAGCTTAAACTAGAAGAAGCGAAGTGGCTAAAAGCTAATGAGACAAACAAACAGAGAGTCACTTTGATTATTGAGTCACCGCGAATAAAAACATTCAATCACCGACATTTGACTGTTTGAAGTGAAGCTAACGCGCCTAAAAACATCCAGAAAACACAAATAAATCAAATAAAACATCCGTTTTCTCTTTTATTATTCTGTTCAAACAGCAAAGAAACTCTAATCACCGGGAAAACTCACCAGATGTGAGCCGAGCCGAACCAAGCCGAGCTAAAGGGCTCTGTTAGCACACTTAGCTTAGCGCCTGGACCACCGCGGAGGGCTGAGAGGGGAGAATGTTCAGGGTCTTACCCGGGAGGAGAGTATCGATCGGCCCGCGGTGAACGCCTTCCTGGTTCCGATGCGTCTGAAGTTCGTGCCGCGAGGACGCTGAGCTCACACCCCCCAAGACCGAGCGAGGGAGGCGGGGCCAAACATCAGAACGAGGCGGGTTATAAAGTATGGAAGCCTGAAAGGACGCAAAACTACGGAGTCCGACTGATGACATGGAATTAAAAATAAAACTAGAGAAAATTACATTTCCTGTGAAAATACTAGTGTGAACGCTTCCTGCTGAAAACTTCAGCTGAAAGCTGCAGGAATTTACGGAGCCCGCGAGGGGACACGGGGGATTTTTTTGTTTGTTTTGCGTTCCCACGCAAAAGTAGTTTATCACTGTTGTGCCTGTTGGTTTCACCATTTAGTTAGTTTAGCAGTTAGCCTACTGCTTTAATTCTGCTTCAGAATGAATATATCACACAGCCACGCAACATCAATGTCAGTTTCACAAACTTGTGGCGACACATCCTATTTTGGTAACTGGATATTTCAAAATAAAGGTCTGATTTAATTCAGTTCATATACAAAACAATCTTTTGCGTGGGAATGCAAAACAATATTGCGAGGTAACGCAAAAGTATTGCGAGGGAACGCAAAAGTATTGCGAGGGAACGCAAAACAATATTGCGAGGGAACGCAAAAGTATTGCGAGGGAACGCAAAACAATATTGCGAGGTAACGCAAAACAATATTGCGAGGTAACGCAAAAGTATTGCGAGGTAACGCAAAACAATATTGCGAGGTAACGCAAAAGTATTGCGAGGTAACGCAAAAGTATTGCAAGGTAACGCAAAAGTATTGCGAGGTAACGCAAAGATATTGCGAGGTAACGCAAAAGTATTGCGAGGTAACGCAAAAGTATTGCGAGGGAACGCAAAACAATATTACGAGGTAACGCAAAAGTTTTGTGAGGGAATGCAAAAGTAAAAAAAAAAAACTGTCTCCTCACGGGCTCCGCAGGAATTGAGCTGAAAATATTGAATAGAAAAATTGTTAATGTAATGTTAATGTTAAAAAAGATGAAAGCAAAAAAAAAAACTTTGCAGAAAAACAATAAAAAGGAGCTCAAATCTAGTTGAAACCAATAGAAAACTGCTAAAAGCTAAAATAGCTGAAAACATCTGTAAGAAGCGTGAATAGATAAATAAAAAAGAAGCATAAATAGCACAAATTAGCAAAAAACCAAAGTAGAAAACATCAGAAGAATAGCAGAGAGAAGCAGATCTAAAGCTGAAAAAGAATTTAAAAAAGCTAAAATTAGCTTAAAAATAAGCTAAAGGCAGCAGCCGTAAGTTGTAATTAATACCCAAACAGTGAAAGTTATGTAAAAAAAATGCATAAAAGTACAAAAAAGTGTTAATTTGTAGTAAAATAGCTAAAACAGCTAAAATTTTCAGTAAAACACTGAAAATGTAGCTGGAAATTATGTCACTAGCATAAGGAGCACATTTACTGAGCTTTGCATAAATAATTTGTATTAGCTTAAAAATGTATATTTAGCTTCAAAAAGCTAAATGTGCTAACAACAGCCGAACATTAGCTACATTTGCAACAAATAGCTGAATGATAGCAGAAAACATCTGTAAGAAGCATAAATAGCTCCAATTAGGAGGAAAAAACACACAAAAGTAGGGAAAAAAGCAAGAATAGCAGAAATAAGCAGAACTATAGACATGATCAAAGAAAAAAGCTAAAATTAGCATAATTAAGCTAAAGGCAGCAGACACAAGTTGGAAGTAGCACCTATATAGTGAAAGTTTTAAAATTGCAGAAAAAAAGCATAAAGGTACTAAAAAGTGACAATTTTTAGTAAATAGCTAAAATAGCCAAAAATTTCAGTAAAACAGTTAAAATGTAGCTAGATTTTTTTAATTAGCATAAAGAAACATAAGAAGTACAAAGTTTGCTGAACTTAGCAGAAATAAGCTGTAACAGCTACAAAAACTGTGTATTTAGCCTAAAACATCTCCTCCCAGCCAGATCCCCTCCCCACAGCTTTGGTTAAATCCTGTCTCCCAATAACCTCCAACAACCTGTATGAACAGTTCCAATCAGTTTGTCGACCACATCACAGAAACTGCTCTTATTAAAATGACTAATGATCTCCTTGCTGCTGACTCAGGACTTCTGTCARWACTCATCCTCCTTGATCTGAGCTCTGCCTTTGACACCATCTCTCATCCTATCCTCATCGAATGACTAAACTCTATCGACATCTCAGACACCCCCCCTGGACTGGTTTAAATCCTGTCTTTCTGACTGCACTCAGTTCATACAGCTCAAGTCCTTCTGCTCCCAGTCTTCACCCATTTCCACTGGTGTTCCCCAAGGTTCTGTACTCGGGCCGTAATTTATCTGCTCCCGTTTGGCCACATCTTCCGTAAAATTGGTGTCCATTTCCACTCTTATGTCGACGACACTCAGCTCTACATTTCAACAAAACCAAACTCCACCTTCTCATCCTCCACTCTTACCGACTGCCTCAGTGAGCTCAACAACTGGTTCTCTAACAATTTCCTCCAACTAAACCATAACAAAACTGAACTGTGCCTTGTTGGGACAAAAATATTTCTAAATCTAGATGTTTTGAAAGTTGAGCATCAAAAAGAAAGAAAGAAAGAAAGAAAGAAAGAAAGAAAGAAAGAAAGAAAGAAAGAAAGAAAGAAAGAAAGAAAGAAAGAAAGAAAATAAAGCTTTTTTTGACAAATAGACAACTCCAGTTGTCACCTGGGACTTCTAGCTGCAGCACATAAAGCTAAGAAATAGCTTCTTTGGCTATGTGGTGGCCACAGAATAATTATCTCGTGGCCACATGATATTTTTTCTTTCATGTCACCGGAGGGGCTCCGTACAAAACCTGTAAACGTAGACATTTACCAAATTACCAAATTTCACTCTGGGATCAATAAAGTATTTTTGAATTGAATTGAATTTCTGCCATGTTACAAAGTACGGAAGCCTCAAAGAGCCAAGCTTTGTTTAAAACAGGAAGTAGCTCTGAGGAAACGGTGGGGTCACCCTTAGAGGCGGTTCAGCTGTGGTCTGACCTCCACAGCAAACACTCTACCTTTAAAATCAACGAGAGAGTTACACTGGCTCCACACGGACAGTGATCCACCAAAATTACATTCAATCCTATTTCTGAAGGATGCCGGAGCTGCGTCTGAGTCAATCTACAAAGATCATGTTGCACCAACAGGAAAAGGAACGAGCACATCATCCATATTTTCAAAATAAGTCACCAAAGGAGACTAATTTTTGTTCAAATCCCAGCTATATTAATAAATATATGGATCTATGACAGAAATGCTGTCAGAATGTATGGTTCTGTTCGGGAAGCGGACGACAACATGTAGCGTGCAGCATATGTGACACACATGATACACGTGGATTTTATTTTGAAATCAGAAGTTTAAAAAAACAACAACATCGATGCAGTTTCAGTTGTGTTTGGAGTGTGCTGACTTCCACATTTATCACTGGATTTATGGCACAATCTCGCATTTCCTGCAAGGCTGCTCGAAGCTCCTCCGTGTTTTGCACCAGATTGGACCAGACTGGACCGCATCAGACCAGACCAGACCAGACCAGACCAGACCAGACCAGACCAGACCAGAGTGGACCGCATCAGACCAGACCAGACCAGACTGGACCGCATCAGACCAGACCAGACCAGACTGGACCGCATCAGACCAGACCAGACCAGACCAGACCAGACCAGACTGGACCGCATCAGACCAGACCAGACCAGACCAGACCAGACCAGAGTGGACCGGATGCTGTAGAAATTGGGGGCAAACAAAAGGCAGCGAGCTGCAGCCAGCAGAACCACATGTTGTGTAAATTAGGGGAGGGGTAAGCATGACAATGTGAACAAGCACATCTTACAGGCCCCGCCCCCTCACTCAGCCCCGCCTCCACAGCTCTCAGAGGAGCCCCGTAAGGTACAGAAGCCCTGAAGTGACATGTACCACAACCAGATAAAGTTCTGTCAAGATTAAAACCATATAAATCCTGAAGTGATTTAGAATGTTTTTGTTTCAAAACATCTTAATATTTTATCAACTCAGTGAAGGTTTTAAAAGATGCCACTTTGAATCATTTAATGTGTTATTTTTTAAAAATGTATTGTTTCTCTGGAACCCAACGAGAATTAAAAAGTACACGTTGTATGCAGAAGATCATCTCTCATGAATATGGATACACGTAAGTGACGTTCATTTATTTGAATACTTTATTTGTGAAGAACAGTTTCAACACAACTGATTGGTTTGGTTTGAGTTCAGGAGGCTTTCAGGAAAATAACATTTCCTAAAAATACTAAAAGTTTTTAAAAACAAATCTCATGATGTGTTAGAGCTCAGGGTATGTTTCAGGGAGAACTCTCAGCTACTACCACACCAACTTTCAGCTCAGATTTGATGGTTTCTCTCACCGTCTGTTCCGTGGACTCACCGTTTCAGAACCGTTGGTCCGAACCCCTGAATACCGGGTTCTCCCTCTCTGGCTGGGTGCGGCTCAGAGCAGCATGGACAGGTTGGTGTCGGCCCTGTGGTTCCGGATCTTCTCGGAGCGGCGCTGCTTTGGGCCCAGCCAAAAACTGGACTGGGTCTTCCACAAGATGCACCAGCAGCCCGCGCTGGCGGCGCTGAAGATCTGCCCCTTCTACTTCGACCAGGTCACCTACAGCCTCCCTACGGTGACCCCGCGGTGAGCGCTGGACCACTGCTGACCTCTGATTATCTCTACCTGCTGACCTCTGATTATCTCTACCTGCTGACCTCTGATTATCTCTACCTGCTGACCTCTGATTATCTCTANATTATCTCTACCTGCTGACCTCTGATTATCTCTACCTGCTGACCTCTGATTATCTCTACCTGCTGACCTCTGATTATCTCTACCTGCTGACCTCTAATTATCTCTACCTGCTGACCTGCTGACCTCTGCTGATGATCTCTACCTGCTGTTTGTGGTTTCAAAGCGACAGCTACAATCTGCGTCTGCGCTGCTTCAACTCGTGGGCGGATCCACAGGAAGAGAAACGGCGGACGGCGGCGTGGCGTTCGCACGGCGTGGCGTACGAAGACGACCGACCAAACTCTGGCATCTACCTGAGCAAACTCTGCCAACTGCAAGATGTCCACACGGGTGGGAGCCTCAGCTCCCAGACGGTCCTCTTCCTGATGTACGGACACTTCAGCTGATCACTAATAAATATTTTACTAACAGAAGAGAGTGCAGGTGTTATTAAAGTGATCACAACCTCTACTTTTAACTGAGATGACTCTCAGCTACTACCACACAGAGTCCGTTTGTTGGTCGGCTGTGGCGGCCATCTTGCTTTGACTCAAAACGGTTAGATGTATGCGATATCATGACAGGGGCGATTCTAGGGGCGGGGCCAGAAGGGCGCTGGCCCCAGATAAAATCTGATTGGCCCCCTGAAGTGTCCCTGTCCTGTCACTCACCTGTCCTTTACCTGAGAGTGATGATGGTGGGTGCAGTTCCATGTTCAAACACTGGAGGCGCTGATGAGTCAAACAGTAAAGTCCAGCATGAATCAAACTGAATTCTTCTCTTCTGAAGAAAATCTGAACAATCCTGCAGAAAAAAGTATTTAAACTGACAAATGATGGTTGGATTTTATCACATGTTGTGTGTTTGAGAATATTTTATCTATGTTCAGTTAAATGTATGAAAAACTGGTGAGGAGAATTTACTGTGCAAGATTTTTTCAGTACCACTTTACAATAAGTCTCCTCTTATAAAGAGTTTATAGATAAGTTATTAATTCATCTGTAAACACTTCATAAATCATTAATGTTTAATATGCAATTATTAAGGACCAGAAAGAGACAAAACTGTAGTTTCTTATTAAATAATGAGACAAATCTGTTCATATTACATGTAAAGGTGCTTATTAAAGGGGCGATATTATGTGTTTCTCAGGCATATATTTAAATACTATACATTAATAAAGTATCTATGTCACCTTTAGT